TTGCTGTTCTTGCTGTTGTTGCCACTGTTGTTCTAACTGTTGTTTGTGGGTTCACCTTTCCTGAACTACCTTTTTTTTTTTGAGATAGAGTTTTGCTGTTGTTACCCAGGCTGGAGTGCAATGGCACGATCTCAGCTCACCGCAACCTCCGCCTCCTGGGTTCAGGCAATTCTTCTGCCTCAGCCTCCTGAGTCGCTGGGATTACAGGCACGCGCCACCATGCCCAGCTAATTTTTTATATTTTTAGTAGAGACGGGGTTTCACCATGTTGACCAGGATGGTCTCGATCTCTTGACCTCGTGATCCACCCACCTCGGCCTCCCAAAGTGCTGGGATTACAGGCATGAGCTACCGTGCCTGGCCCCCCTCTTTTTCAACTTTGAGTTCTTACTTCCTCAGGGAAACATTCGTGATACCTCAGAGTAGTGTTATTTATTGATGCTTATGCTTATTTTAAGAGCAATGAAAATCACTGAAAAATCAATGAATCTTAGATAAATTTGGAAACTATTTTGACTTTGGGCTAGAGGTATTGATTGGAATATAGATCATATATATGGATTAAGAGGAAATTAGAGCATGGTACCATGCCTAATAAGGAAAAAGTCTCCTTAAGAGACAGCAAGAAGGAGACTAAGAAGTAGGGAGAAATCGCAAATAATATAGTATTCCCAAGTCAAGAGAAAAGAAGATTTGAAAAGAACGTGTTCAACTATATTGAAAGTTGAAGAGCAGGTCAATTAATATATAGCCTAGGAAAATGTTCATTTGATTTAGCAGCATTCGTATTTACACCAACAGAAATTGGCAAATGCCACAAATCCTGGCTTACTTTACTGTTTTATTGATTGTGTAGTCTTAAGAAAGTGATAGAGAAAATATTAATAATGCAGACTAAACTGGAAAGTATTTCAAAGTCTGTAGCCATTACATGAATAGCACAAATATTGAGCATATATTCTTCCAGTATTTGAAAACTGTTATCCTATTGAGCAAAGAAGTTACACATGTCATTAATTCTCAGATGAATTCTGGCAACCATCTTCATTGTCATTTCACTTTCATCTACTCATTAAGCACAAATGAAAAAATACCAACCAACATTCATGTGGGAACTACATTTGTTCATCAGTTGCAATCATTAATTAGTTATGGATACAAGAATGGCAAAAATCAATGAAATCAAGGATTCTGTGAGAATCTATTAGAGCTAGAGGATTTACAATAATAAATTTTGATTATTTTATTGTTACAAACTGCCATCATTCTTTACATCAATAAAATGCATAATAAATTTATGTAGTTATGTGTGCACTTTTATCAAAGAGTAAATTATTGTGTATTTACCAGTGTATCACTATCCTTAGCCATCAGTAATGACCATTAGATAAATGCTAAGGATATACTTATATAAATTTAAAACAAGTTCACAAATAGGACTTTGAAATAAAGAGAGGAAAGAAAATACAATGGAAATTAACTACCATAATATGCCTTCTGTGGAGACTGTAAATGGCAGACTTATGAATAAAGTTTTGGAACACATGCCATTTGAAGTTGTTGAAGGAACAGAAAAGTCTGAATTCTTTCTTCACTTGTGGTTCACCAAATCCTGCTACCTTTATCTCACTTTACAGAACTTGTTTCCCTACCTTAGTAAAATAAAGATGAATTACATTTTGCAAAAGGAACAGAGAAATCAATGTAAAACAAAGGGATATTTTGGTAGTTTTCACCTATCTCCACAAATGATTTCATATGTTTTCCTTTCCTTCTGGGCCCTAATTACCCTCTCTGGGTGTGGTCTTGACTTACCTCTAATGATTAGAATATGGCAGAAATGATAGAGAGTAACTTCCACGTGTAGATCTAAATAATACTGCAACTCGTGTCTTTCTCCCTTGAATCACTTGCTCTGGGGTTGAGATCCACATGGAGTGGAACCGAGGTCTCCCACCAACAGGCAGCACTAACTTTATTGTTTTAAGGACTGTGGAGGACATTTTTTATGTAACCATAGATAACTAATACCTATAGTATAAAATTATGAAGAAGTTTACAGTTCCTAGAGGGGTAAATGAATCTTAGATAAATTTAGGAACTATAATAAATGTGTCTTTGAACTTCTCTAACAAGCTATTAGTGTAGTAATAGACCCAAAGACACCTTGTCTTCACCTCCTTGCTGAAGGATATATGGTAACGGGATAAATGGTAATTCCATGTATCTGAAGGATACATGGGAAGTATTCCTAGAGGAGGGAGCATTTGACTTAGACCTTGAAATTTCAGTTACATTTTAGCAGACAGGACTGGATAATAGTTGTTTGGATTCATGCACTGGTGGCGACAGAAAATACAAGTTTTAAGAAGTATAACGTAGCTTAATAGAGCACAGGAAAACTTCCAGAACAGTTCACAAACTGGGGTATGCCTAAGAATAATTAGGGTGCTTATTTAAAATACATGTTTGGGTCTCATTCACAAAGGTGACTTTTGTTAGAATATAGTAGGGGCCCAGGAATTTACCTATTTGATGAAAATCCCAAGTGGTTCTCATCCATAGACATGGTCTTTGGATCACAACTTAAGAATCACCGTGTTAATGGAATAATAAAATTTCAGTCTAGAAAGGTAAATTAGGACCAGATCACGGAGGTGTAAACGTTGAACTAACCTACGTGGATGAAATAATAAACAGCGAGCTGCTACAGGATTTTGGGCTAGTTTTTACTGTAAAAATGTTTATGTACAAGTAGTACTAATAGTCTAATGAATCTTTACATCACCATATCCATCAATTATATTTGCTTTACTATTCTTTTTTCATATTATTAATATTGCTGACAAATTGCTTTAAAGCAAATCACAGACTTCATGTTATTCCACCTTTATGTGCTTCTGTACGCATCTCCAGCTTGCTAGAAAATCATTGTTTTATAGTACCTAAAACAATTAACAATAACTCATTGATACCATCTAATACTGAATTCAAATTCGTATTTTATAAACTTTTTAAAAATTCATATTTTATAAATTTGGGTTCTAACAAACCAACAATAACACCCAGTCCAATCACCAAACAATTAGAGAATTTTCTTCTCTAAAAAGACATTAGATGGCCTTTTCTCTTACTTTATTCTCATGGATGGTTTTCAGATTAGGTTTGTTTTTTGTTGTTGCTTCTATGTGTCTTTAACATGTATGTCAGCAGAGCCCAAACATGCACACAAGAATACACCTCTGAAGCTTCTGACTCTTAAGGTAGGCCCAGGGCTATTCCTAGACACCAGCAAATAGACGAGGTTGAGGAAGAAACAGGTGAAGAGGTGAAGAATAATGTCTTAAACATCATTTTAGCACTCTGTTCTACCATGCTGTATCTTTATAGGATATATCCAGTCCAGTCCCAGAAAATCTACTGCCCAAGGAGTTCTAGATGACAGGTTAGATCAAGCCACGGCAAATATTAGCGAAAACAACATTCAACTGCTTCTGGACACTGCAAAGGCAGATTCCAGGGAGCTGTCTCTCTGGCTTTTTTTTTTTTTTTTTTTTTAACCATCTTTCCAAGAGGACGAGACTCCTTTCGCGATGACAGCCACTGGGAAAGTAAATGCAGCAGTAGCACCCGCTAGTTGCGTCGCACTCCGGCGCCCCATGGGCGGTGCAGGAGAGCGCCGGGAGCCGGAGCCTGGGCTTGCTGGGCGCAAGCTGGGACGTGCCAAGGGCCAAGGAGCTTCTGATTGGCTCTTTGCTATGAATAGACCAAGCCGAGGCTAATGGGACCCGAGGGGGTGCTCACCTGGGAGGTGGCCTTCCAGCCGGGCCAAGGACCTCCCTGACTGTATGGGGCGGAGAGAACGGGCGAGGGGAGAAGGGAAAGCACACCCTAACTAAACAGAGGGGTGGGAGGGGAAGGTTACACGATCCCTTCGTAAAGAGCGGGCTATGGAGGCAAAAGGGTAGGTAACTTGGGGCTTCTGTGCCTTGAAAGTGTTAAGGATTGTAGGGAATGCAGGGTGCTTTTCATTTTACTTTGGGCATCCTCCCCTGGCTGGGCATTTAATCAGTCCTACTGTGTGTGTTGAAACTGCATAATACCGTGAGATATCCCGGCCCTAAATTACACTCGGTGGAGGGATTTCGGCGGATTACAATCCTAATTGGCGCCAGGGAGCTAGCGAAAGAGACAGAGAGAATTGGGGACCTAGAATTTGGAGTACTATCACTACACCGCAGCTCTACTTCCCATTAGGAAAAAGATCACATGACGAAGTCGAACTAAGAGATCTGAAGTAAAAAATGAAAAAATGGAATGAAAGTAAGAAATAAATTCTGAGATGAGTGGGTTTTTCCCTCTTTATTCTAACAGCAATCTTAAATAACAGACGTCATGTAGCAGTTGTATATCTATGAACATGTATGAGAGATTTATAAGTACCTGCATACATGAATACAAACATCCTGTTACACATGAGAGATCTTAAATGCTCGGGCATCAAAGGTGGGAGCTGTGATCCTAGTTTGGGGGCACCACGGGGCAGGCGGGCTGCTGTCCGCGGTGAGTGCCTTCTGGGCTCCCCGCGCGTCCAGCCTCGCCCAGAGCCGCCCGCGGCAGCGCACTTCTGACCCGAGTCCACTCGGGCACCACCCGAGAGCCCGGTCCGCACCGGCTCCCGCACCCCAGCCGCCGGGGTGGTGACACACACCGGAGTCGAATTACAGCCCTGCAATTAACATATGAATCTGACGAATTTAAAGGAGGATTGAAAAAAAAAAAAAAAAAAAAAAGCAGGCTCCGGAGTCCTCCGCACACCAGAACTTTTCTCCGGGTGTAAAAACTCTTTGATTGGCTGCTCGCACGCGCCTGCCCGCGCCCTCCATTGGCTGAGAAGACACGCGACCGGCGCGAGGAGGGGGCTGGGAGAGGAGCGGGGGGAGACTGAGTGGCGCGTGCCGCTTTTTAAAGGGGCGCAGCGCCTTCAGCAACCGGAGAAGCTTCGTTGCACGCGACCTGGTGTGTGATCTCCGAGTGGGTGGGGGAGGGTCCAGGAGGGAAAAAAAAAAATAAGACGTTGCCGAAGAGACCCGGAAAGGGCCTTTTTTTTGGTTGAGCGGTTGTGGCAGTGCTGCCTCCGATCCTGAGCCTCCGAGCCTTTGCAGTGCAATGTCCCGCCTGCTGCCTGCAGAAGAGTGGGCTGAAGTGAAGGAGTTGGGAGACCACCATCGCCATCCCCAGCCGCATCATCTCCCGCAGCTGCCGCCGCCGCCGCAACCACCTGCAACTTTGCAGGCGAGAGAGCATCCCGTCTACCCGCCTGAGCTGTCCCTCCTGGACAGCACCGACCCACGCGCCTGGCTGGCTCCTACTTTGCAGGGCATCTGCACGGCACGCGCCGCCCAGTATTTGCTGCATTCCCCGGAGCTGGGTGCCGCGGAGGCCGCGGCGCCCCGGGACGAGGCGGACGGTCGGGGGGAACTGGTAAGGAGGAGCAGCGGTGGTGCCAGTAGCAGCAAGAGCCCCGGGCCGGTGAAAGTGCGGGAACAGCTGTGCAAGCTGAAAGGCGGGGTGGTGGTAGACGAGCTGGGCTGCAGCCGCCAAAGGGCCCCTTCCAGCAAACAGGTGAATGGGGTGCAGAAGCAGAGACGGCTGGCAGCCAACGCCAGGGAGCGGCGCAGGATGCATGGGCTGAACCACGCCTTCGACCAGCTACGCAATGTTATCCCGTCGTTCAACAACGACAAGAAGCTGTCCAAATATGAGACCCTGCAGATGGCCCAAATCTACATCAACGCCTTATCCGAGCTGCTACAAACGCCCAGCGGTGGGGAGCAGCCACCGCCGCCGCCAGCCTCCTGCAAAAACGACCACCACCATCTTCGAGCCGCCGCCTCCTACGAAGGGGGAGCAGGCAACGCGACCACAGCAGGGGCTCAGCAGGCCTCCGGAGGGGGCCAGCGGCCGACCCCGCCCGGGAGTTGCCGGACTCGCTTCTCAGCTCCGGCCTCTGCGGGAGGGTACTCGGTGCAGCTGGACGCTCTGCACTTCTCGACTTTCGAGGACAGCGCCCTGACAGCGATGATGGCGCAAAAGAATTTGTCGCCTTCGCTCCCTGGGAGCATCTTGCAGCCAGTGCAGGAAGAAAACAGCAAAACTTCGCCTCGGTCCCACAGAAGCGACGGGGAATTTTCTCCCCATTCCCATTACAGTGACTCGGATGAGGCAAGTTAGGAAGGTGACAGAAGCCGAAAACTGAGACAGAAACAAAACTGCCCTTTCCCAGTGCGCGGGAAGTCCCGCGGTTAAAGATCCCCGCATCCTTTAATGTTTGCTCTGCGACGGTCGTTGTTTAGCAACGACTTGGCTTCAGATGGCAGCTACATTTGATGGTTTGCAAATGCGGCCGCTGTTCCAAACTTCCTACGGTCCACATTGTTTGATGAAACCCTTTCTGTTAAAGTTATGTCCTTTCCGCCCACCTTCTGCTCCCCCTGTAGATAGATACGGTATAATTGTATGTACCCATATATGGCACCGTTATTCTAGTTCCCTGCTGCCTACACGCTGCTGAAACGTCGCATCTTTTTCTCTGTCGCTGGTTTGGGTTTAATTTATTTTACGCCCTGGGCATCCATCCTTGTGTGTTGCGCACTCAAGTGTGGGAGATTTAGTCTTCCGAAGTTGTTTTCCAAAATGTACAATGAAACGCAAAATTAGTGCTTCCAAAGTGGATAACTTTTGACTATTGAATTGTTAGAAAACAGGGAACTTTAAGGTTTATATATTGTATAAACATACCCAGTATGTGTATCCGATCGCGAGAACCTTGGCGTCTTTTAGGAAACTTGGCGCACGCACTTTATCAGCCGCTGCTGCGGTGGTGGCTCCAGGAGAAACTCAGCTGCCAATTGCAGACCAGTTTTTTTTTTTTTTTTTTTACTTTAACACAGCCACTTATAATTCTTAAGCTCTTTGCAAATGTTTGTTGAAAAAATGAATTTTTTTTAAAAAGTTAGTAGTGTCAAAAGCTTTTGCTTTGTTAATATTTTGTCAATTTTATTTTGCTTTGTTAATATTAGAAAACTTATTTATTATTGTTTGCTACCATTTCTACTTATCTTGATTCATTTTTTACGTTTTCTACTCGAGATCATTTTATTTTAATTTAGCAAAGCCAACTGCCATTGTTTAATGTATTTTCTTTTGCAAATAATTAAAATAAACGTGAAAAGTAGCTTTTATTTGTCACTTATTCCATGAGTATAACTACTGAAAACAATTTTTAAATGAATGACTTGGAAGAATTGAGCTAAGTCTTCTATTAAATGCCATTTATGTGATCTTACAGTTTTTGAAGAAAAATGTTGTATACTTGGTGCCTTCGGGTAGTATCAAAACCCCTACAAAGAAAAGCACTCAGATCAATAATTAAATTGTGAATTAAAACTTTTTCCAAGTTTGCAGCACAGTTTTGCCTCTTTGATAGCCAGGATCTTCCCAGTCTTCTTTACTCCTTGCCCCAACAATATCTGCAAGGGGTCGTGGCTACTAGTTTTAGGTTTACTAGGACCTACCTACCCTGGAGTAGTTAACTCCACCAGGGTTAGCTATGTCCACTCATAAAACTTAAACAAGCTGAACATTTTTCAGGTAGGTCAAGCTCACTGCGCTCTCTCTCTTCTGCCTCTGTCTCTCTCTCTTTCTCCCTTTCGGGAGAGGAAGACCTGAGGAGAGAAAGATGATAACAGAAGAAAACTTGAGGAAAAAAAAGGAATTAAATTCATGGATTCAAAAATTAGAAGTGTGTAGTTGCCCTGGGAAATTGTTGACCTCCACTCATTTTTTTCTTTTCACACAATTCTGCTTCTCTCAATGTAGAAGTTAAGGTCTGCCTTTATTTTGTCTTTCTGAATTGGCTTTTGTGTAGAAAACATTCAAACAAATTTTTGGGTCAATTGCAGAAACTAAAAGGTGCTGAAACTCTCACCTCAGGTGTCCTCACTAAGGAAAAAACCTATTCTGAGTCTCAGGCTTACAGGTTTTGGAAAAGCTAATTGTGTGTGTATTTGTGTGTGTGTGTGCGTGTGTGTGTGTGTGTGTGTAGAGAGAGAGAGAGAAGACAGTGAAATAAAAAAATTAATTTGGCACACGAGAGTAGAACTATTTATTAAACTAAATATTCGGCGACATGCCTCTGGATAAACATCGTTGAATTTGAGACGCTGATTTTAAGCCAAGCCTTTTATGTTTCGTGGCCTCACTGGGATAACAAATTGCGGGGAAATGAAGCACCAAAAAGAGCGAGGGAAGGTTAGTGTGATCACTCCTGCATCCTCTTCTCCTCCTAGCACCTTGAAAAGAGGAGAGCGCCAAAAAGGAAAAGGACAGAGCCACAAAGTGGGTTTGCAAAAGAGTAGTGAGTGAGGGAGCGCAGGTTCTGGTCTCCAGTAAGAAACTGCGGAACCAGCTTTTTACTGACCACCTGGGTATCTGTGGCTTTCAGCGGAAGCCGACCAAGAGAGGCGGAGGACCTCCGCCAGCTCTCTGGGAGAAGCGAGCAGGCGGCTGGTGACACTTTCCAGGGCAGAAAAAATGCACCTGTCCCTTAGATAACCTTTTGCACCCACTGAGTTTGCTGTGTTCAAGATAAACATCAGGAATATTCGGGCTGCTGAATAAATCAAGCTATTGCTTCTAACACATTTCCATTTCTCTCTCAACAAGCAGACCCAACCGGTAAGGGCATACAGCAACCTTTCGGGATGAGAGCACCCATATTTTTACAGTTATTTGCTTAGCGTGCTCGCATGCATGTGATGCGGACCTAGACTCATTTTACCTGTTATGAATCTGAGTCAGAAAAGGACAAGAGGAAGGAAAAGGTGATTTCTTTTTTCCTCAAAGAAAATCTATGTTTCATTTTATTCAAAACCATTTATGTGCATTTTGTGTCAAAGAGGAGAAAGACATTGTCCAATGTTACTATTTTTCATGGGCTCATAGAAATTTCAAAACAGAAAGAACATCAGGAACATCTTCCTTCATAGCTTTTAAAAATGAGGAAACCGCTGTTCCTAAGTTGCCCCCAAAAATCACACTGCTAGAAAGTGTCAATATTTACAACCGATCTTAGTACTCCTGACCACCAGATCAATGCTCTCATAATTTTTTTTCTCTGAGGAAACCAATAGATAACAATTACAGCTACGCAAATGTTGGCGGGGAGGGATTGTACCACCACAAGAGGTGGATATATATACTTTTAAATATTAGTTATATTATATAGGAATTGGAGATAAACCCAGCTTCGTTTAAGGACATTCTTTACATTTCTTCTCAAGAGAAAAACAATCATAACAATATATCGAAAATATCATACTGATATAATATTTATAGCAATATAGAATTGGAAATGTTATATCACACTGATTGAAAAGAGAGGATGAATTTTACTAACCCATTAAGATATGCACAAAAAGTCAAATCACTGTGGTAAATTGAGTGCTCAAAGTTCAAATGAGAGCTTTAACCTCTTTTCTCTCCATTCTATTTCTTTTTTTCTTTTTAAATGCTGGCATTTCTTTGAAAGAGATGTACAATCACATTTCCATTTTAAGGTTCTGCTATGGAGTTTGCATAACAAACGTTTGGCAGCTCGCTCTCTTACACTCCATTAACAAGCTGTAACATATAGCTGCAGGTTGCTATAATCTCATTAATATTTTGGAAACTTGAATATTGAGTATTTCTGAGTGCTCATTCCCCATATGCCAGACCACTTCTGCCATGCTGACTGGTTCCTTTCTCTCCATTATTAGCAATTAGCTTCTACCTTCCAAAGTCAGATCCAAGTATCCAAGATACTAGCAAAGGAATCAACTATGTGTGCAAGTTAAGCATGCTTAATATCACCCAAACAAACAAAGAGGCAGCATTTCTTAAAGTAATGAAGATAGATAAATCGAGTTAGTCCTTTGCAACACTGCTGGTGCTTTCTAGAGTTTTATATATTTTAAGCAGCTTGCTTTATATTCTGCCTTCGCCTCCCACCCCACCAGCACTTTTATTTGTGGAGGGTTTTGACTTGGCACACTTTGGGAAACTTATTTGATTTCACGGAGAGCTGAAGGCAGATCAGTTTTGGCAACGGACAAGTTTAAACACGATTTCTATGGGACATTGCTAACTGGGGGTCCAACTTGACCAGAAAAAAGGGGGAGGTTAATTTCCTAAATCTTAAACAATGAATGACCAATATTTTCATAAAGCCTTTCTATTGATTTTAGAGTATTTGAACCAAGTAAGTAGAGTACTTGAACCAAATAAGAGGTCTTTTCCCAAAAATAGCTTGAAATATTTCTCTCCTTTGCTCATTTGAAAGTTCAAGAAAAAGATTATCAAATTCTTCTTGCCAATTAGAAACCTGAATTGGAAAGCAAAAGTAACAGATGCTCTTATCACTTATAATCTAGACTTGTCAATTGCATCTAGAAAAACCAGCAAGTGCTGGTGAGAGTTATGGATAACCAATCGTAGTTGAATTGTTTGCAGTTATTTTTGTGAGAGAGTTGTGGGGAGAAGGATGTAAAAAAGGCAAAAGTTTTTCTCGAAATTGTTGACTTTACATTCCTCGCCCTTTACCGCCCTCTCCCATAGGCCAAGCAGAGTCCCAGACGCCAACAACTGAGGTTCCTCTTCTTCTCCAACTAGGCCCCTAAGGAGAAAGGGAGAACCGAGAGGGGAATGGGTTAAATCCTTGGAAGCAGGGGAGAGACGGGGGAGGAGAGAAGTCGGAGGAGTATAAAGAAAAGGACAGGAACCAAGAAGCGTGGGGGTGGTTTGCCGTAATGTGAGTGTTTCTTAATTAGAGAACGGTTGACAATAGAGGGGCTGGCAGAGGCTCCTGGCCGCGGTGCGGAGCGTCTGGAGCGGAGCACGCGCTGTCAGCTGGTGAGCGCACTCTCCTTTCAGGCAGCTCCCCGGGGAGCTGCGCGGCCACATTTAACACCATCATCACCCCTCCCCGGCCTCCTCAACCTCGGCCTCCTCCTCGACGACAGCCTTCCTATGCCCCCCACCAGCAGAGCTCACAGTAGCGAGCGTCTCTCGCCGCCTCCCGCACTCGGCCCCGGCCCCTCTCTTCCCCCAGCTGCGCAGCGGGAGCCGCCACTGCCCACTGCACCTCCCAGCAACCAGCCCAGCAAGCAAAGAAGCTGCGCAAAGTTAAAGCCAAGCAATGCCAAGGGGAGGGGAAGCTGGAGGCGGCGGAGGAGGCGGCGGCGGGAGAGCTGTGGGGTTGTTTAGGGAAAGTTGGGCTGGGGCCTGAGGCACCTGAAGCAGTGAACCAGGACTAAGAAGCAAGCGCATCCCCCTGCGCAAGCCGAGAGGCGAACGCGCTCCTGAACACATTCAACCGCCCGGCCCAGCGCCAGTGTTTGAAGATCTGCTTGTCTTTTCTAGCCAGAGACGCATTTCCTCACTCACTCCATTATTCTAAAGACTTTTCTTTCATGCTGGTAAAATTCTCAGAGTTTAAAAGTTGATCGAGAAGCCCACGTATGGGCATTGTCTTCCACGTGTCAATCCACCAGCGGTACCAGGCTCTTCTTTCCTTGGCTCCTTAAGAACAGTTAAGCATTTCAGTGCAAAGATTGTAGGTCTTTCTCCTCTCGGGGTACCTCTCCATTTTCGGCTCTCCTTTTTTTGGTCCCAGACAAACAAATTAGGCTTTGGCTGCCTAATCTACAAGTAGGCCAGGCCCATTCTACAAGTTCGTACCTTTTCCCGGTGAAAGCAGAAGGCTCCTCCATAGGAACGAAAAGCAAGATGCTCTTCAATATAAGTATTATTCACTATTGTTTTCAGCAATTCTGATTAGAGACTTAAAGACATGATCATGAAACCGCTGTTCGGGTGTCCCGCTGATTCACCACAGCTGCAGGGCCTAGCTACTATGAGGATGATGAAAAAGGTGTGAGCTAGGATTTGAGGTCTTGGGATTTCTGGAGCCAAGAGATGTCATTATTCTTTTGAACCACTGGCCATTTGTTTGTTCATTTCTAGATACAGTTTTCCATAATCCCTCCCATCTTCCTGTCCCTGCAAACTCAAAGATGAGGTGCTGGTAAGGGAGGGAGTAGGATTGGAAGGGTTATTCCATGATCTGGGGCCCGCGTGAAGTAGTATTTGAGGGAGCAGAGGCATTATTCTTTTTCCCTTACCCGCCACAAAACT